ACTTGAAGAGGATGCTATTTTAAATAGGGTGGTCAGGGAAGAGTTCCCAATGGTAAGACATTGAAAGAGGAAATACTGACATAAAGAACAGGTAATTTGGAGGTCTGGGCAATGCTGTTCCATGCAGTGAGAAGGTGAGTGATAAAAAAGTCTTTGAGGCAGAAATGAGCTTGTGGTGTTGGAGGAACAAGAAGCAGGTCAGTGTGGTTAAATAGGAGAATGGTAATGAGATGAGGCACACAGGGGGCAGATCATGCAGGACCCTGTAGGTCATGGAAAGAAGAGTGCATTTTCTTATAAAGGATTGGGGAGCCTTTAAGGAGCTCTGGTGGTATAATGGTCAAGGCATTTGGCTGCTAACCAAAAGGTCAGTTGTTCAAACCCACCAGCCATTCCGCAGAAGAAAGATGAGGTAGTCTGCTTCTGTAAAGATTTACAGCCTTCCCAAGGGGGGGGGGGAGGTTGCTATGGAGTCAGAATCAATTTGATGGTTGTGTGTTTGGTTTTGGTTTGGGGAGCCTTTGGAGAGAATTCCACACAGGGAAGGGACATGATGAAAAGATCCCTCTAGTTGCTCTAGCTGTTCTGCAAACTGTAGGAAGACCAACTGGGGGCTAAAGCTACTACAGTAGCCCAGGGGAAGAATGACAGTGGGATGGAGTATGATGGAATCCAGTGGTTGAAATGTGGATGGTCATAAATGGGTGGATTCCAGACATATTCTGAAAGGCAGAACTGACAGACTTGCAGATGGACTGAGTGGGGGTTTTAGAAAGAGAAGAATTAAAGGTAGCTTTTAGATTTGGGGGCCTAAGCAAACAGATGAATAGTGGAGCCATTTGCTCAACAAGGCAAGAATGGAGAAGGGGCATGTTTGAACAGTGAAATGGAAGAGTTTTTAAGAAATTCTTAAACATGAAAATACCGGGTCAAAGGACATACATAATAAAGACTGATAAAAGTGCCAAGCTTCCTCCAGAAAGGTTATTATACTACCCGCTCCTCCCTTACTGACATGATTAGGTTCCAAAGACTAGGTCATTGTGTGAAAATCAGCTTTATGTGAAAATGGAGGATGACCACATCAGATCACAAAACAGAGCAAGACTGTATCATTGCCAAATTACATCATGACATAACTGCCATGAGAATCATTGAGAATCATGGTCCAGACAAGTCGACACAACCTTGACCATAATAGCTAGTGTTACTCCCACCTCACATGCTGGCATTTGTTACTGTTATACACAGGTCAATAATGCATAAAATAGTTGGATACATTTTTTTTACTACTGTTGTCAATGCAAAATGTCAGATAATGAGAGTCAGTAAGTGAGGAGCAGATATACTTGTTTATCCTCCTATAAACAGTGTGTAAGGTTAAGGGGAAAAAAATGTGTTTTAATTGCATTTCTTGGTTTGGCAAACTGATTGTTTTTTTATTGGCCATTTTTACTACTTCTGTGAATTGCTTATTCTCACTGATTTGTAAGTGCTCCTTGTATATTAAGAAATCTAACTCTGTATGTCATATTGTAAATATTGTTTCCCAATCTGTTTTAGTTTTGTCCGTGGCATCTTTGATAAACAGAAGTGGTTCTAATGTTTATGTAGTGAAATCTGTCATGCTCTTCTCTGAATGTAAAATGCTTAGCTCTTTATCTAGCACAGAATAGGCACTCAATAAAATTTATCTTTGATTAATAAGGGTTTCTGCCCCTGGTGCCAAGACCCCAAAAACCTTCTGCATTTTTTTTAGTGCTTTTATGGTTTTGGTTTTTAGATCTAAACCTTACCTCCATCTGGAATTTATTCTGTAGCATGGTGTGAGGTCAGGACATTCTAACTCCTGACACAACTCTCTTGCCCAACAAAACTGTCTCCCTCCACATCATAGCCCTTTAACTCCATTCTCCCCTGCCAACTGGCTCCCTCCACAAAAACAGAGTCCAAGTTACCAACAGCTCTCCCCTGGGACTACCCTCCTCACTGATCTCTCCCTGCCTCCATTCTAACCTTACCCCCCATGAGATCTTCCCAAAACAACCACAGTAATTGGCTGGTGTGTGTGTGTGTGTGTGTGTTTAATGTACATTTGATTATGCCATCCTCCTGCTTGTAATTCTCCAATGGCTTCCTACTGAAAATAGGAAAAAAAAAAAAAAAAAAGATTCCTTCCAACTGAATTACAGATCTGGTCTGCCCTCCCTCACCCTTTTCCAACCTACTTCTGTAACACTCTCCCTTCCCACCCAGTAAGCCCCAGACACAACTGGCCTTCTTTCAGCACTAGACATGCTAAGTTCATTTCTCCATCAGGCTTTGCCCTTGCTGTTTCTTCTGCCTGAAACCATCACCTCCTCAGACAGGACTTTCCTGACACCACCCCATGTGACAGTCGCCCCACCTTAGTAACTTTATTCCATCACCCCAAACCAAACTCACTGCCGTGAACTCATAGCGACCCCTCCCTTAGGTTTCTGAGCCAGTTATCACTATGGAAGTAGATTGCCTAACCTTCCTTCGGAGGAGTGGCTGGTGGGTTTGAACAGCCAGTCCTCTGGTTAAAGGTCAAATGCCTTAGGCATTACCCCAGTAATGTAAGGCTCCTTCCATTACCCCAGTTTCACTTTATTCGAGGCACTTGCCATTAACTAAACTATCTTGCTCATTCATTTACTCATGTATTTATTGTTTCCCTGATCCCTTCCCACAGACAACAGTCTCTACATAGCTCTATATCCCTAGCGTCTGACATTACCACATAGAGAAGCTCAATTTTTCAGAAAGGGGAAGGAAAAAATCTGGGGTGCTCAATTAATATTTGTAGAGGGGAAAGGAAAAAAACCTGGACTTCGGCTTCCTATTCAAACTTGCAAAGACTACCTAAGATTTTTCTGCTTTCATTCAACGTGGGCAATCAGTCCCCTTCTCTCCCTCCAGCCCCTCCAAAAAACTTCTTCGAAGAACCTCTAGGGCCAGGTCCCAATCTCGCACACAGCATTAAGCTTGCTCAAACTCTTCCAAAATTTAACTCTGGGACGACACGAGACAGGATACTACACGGCTTTGGGCGCTGCTACCACCACCAGGCAGCTAAGCATCAAGTTTCCGCAGCCACCATCCAGCCCCGCCCGCAAGAGCGGGAGGAAGGAGGAGTAGGAAGACAGAGCCGCTTACCAGTTCATCCGGACTGAGGACTCCGAACTGCACTCTCTTGATGGTGCGCAGCGGGCATGCGCTGTCCCCGGAGGGGGGGCCACCCCCGTGCATCGCGGAGGCAGGCGCGCTGCGCAGGCGCAAACCTCCCTACAAAAAGCCTGCGCCGCCTCCGCCTAGGTGCTCAGACCCTGTTGGGGCGGCCACCGGGAAGGACCTCCCGAGTTGGGAGGAAAAAGCTGGAGGAGGGAGAGGTGGGGGAGGGAAGGAGGCGGGGAAATGAAAAGGAGCGAAAAGCGCTCTTCTCCTTCTTTCCGGAGATTTTTCACCTCCCAAAACAGGAAAAAAACAAAAATAAAAAAAGAGGGGGGAGAGGAAAAGGTTCTGGGGGGAGGAAGAAGAAAAAGGGTAACGAATAAATAAGCAACCGGGCTCCTGAACGGCTGAGGTTACGGCAGTTTGTCTCTCCCCCTCGGGAGCCGCCTTCTTCTCCAACCGTCCCGGCCGCGCTCTCGGCGCTTCTGAAGAGAGAGCTGCCCGAATGACGCTCTTTATAGGTTCGCCCTTGGATCCCCGCCCCTTCCTTTCCCGCCCTCCCTTGCGCTACGGGGTTGCCTGCGCTGGCCTGCACGGGGCGCGCACTTGTGTCGTTGATCATTCCTTCCCGGTTCCCCGTTGGGCGACCTTTTGAAATGACGGGGGGAAGAGAATTTCTTATCCCGCCGCTTCCCCTCGTTGCCCTCTCCCGCACTGAGACTTAAGGCTTGAAGGAATGAGAGTAAATGTTTTATTTCAGTTTGGAGTATGGTTTCATCTTCAGTAAAAGTCTCTCATTAAATATCCCCTCCAGCTAGATAATGGTCTCTTCTGCGAATCGGTAATGAAGGAGGCGGGGCCGGTCGGATCTTCCTGAGTGGGTTCCTGGGGGCAGTGCTGGGGCCGTCCTCGGGTAATGAATATGCAATAAGATCGCTAAATATTCATGAACTGATCAAAATGGCGAGGCTAATTACACGTCCGGAAGTAGCCGATGTTTGTCGAGCGGCCTCCCGGGGTGGGTGGGCATCTCCTGACCTCTAGCCGAGCGCTGTACGGAGTCTTGGTCCTGGATGCCGGGCCTGAGCTTCTCAAACCATCTTTATCTCGGAGGCTTACCCCAGAAGGAGGCTGGCCCCTATCCGAGAGAGATCACGGGACCGCGACAATCCAGGAAAAAGCAGATTAGCCATGAGGCGGGACAGAAAGTCTTGGGGGATTCAGGGTCAAGGAATCTGCACATTAGAAAACCCTCCCCTTTCTAGACTATTTCAGAAATAAGATTGGGGGGTGGATCCCAAGGGATCGTACAATAAGAGCCGTGTAGGACTTCTACTTTCCCTCTAATGCAGAGATGACATCAACTCCACAGCCACAGTCAGTGATCCTTGTTTGATGTTAATGTCACGGCACCATTCCAAGGTGGGGAGCACAACTAGGAAGAAGGGATGTCATCGCTCAGGGAAAAATGGACACGCCTCTCCCCCAGTGTAGTTCTTGTTCTGATTGCCTGGACACCCGGAACACTCTAGCCCCGAGGCGCTGCCCTGTTGCTAAGGCCCACTGCCCTAGGGGTATCCTGCCCTGCCTCATTGCACAAAGGCTCAGGCCCTTCTATCTATCTGCTCCTCAGACCTTGCCCTTTAGTTCCCGGGACAGCCTAGACTCCATTTCACTTGTCCTCCAAGCTATCTCCCAGATAGTCCCTCTCCACCAAGTTCCAAGTCACCCTATTACTCTGAGAGATGTTCCTCTCCCATGCCAGTTGTTTTTCAGCCAATTGGTCGCCCGTGTATGCACTCCAGTCTCTTTACCCTGCCCCCACCCCTATCCCCAGGCTCTCAAGTTTGATCTCAGTCCTCCTCCTCCTTCTCCTTCTCACAGCTGAGGTTCTGGGCGGTGATGATGGCAATGCTGCCCAACACGACCCCTGCCCCCATGATGTCAGAAGGTGCCACTGTCTCATAGAGCACATAGTACTGCAGCATCAGGGCCACCACCACCTCAGAGTGTAGGACGGCACACACCAGGGCAGGGTGGGCCTTAGTGACTGCATAGCTGACGCACACAAAGGAGACCAGGGCGAGGACCCCCACTGCCACCACACAACTCCAACTCAAAGGGTCATTGGGCAGGACGGGGGTCTGCAGCAAAAAGAGGCCCGGCACAGCACCCACCAGCCCCACTAGGCCAAAAAGGAAGGCCACTGTCGGTAGGCAGGAGGGGAAGTTCAGGGAGCGATAAACCAGAAGTCCCAGAGACAGCGCAAGGCCTCCCAGGAAAGCCAGCACATAGCCCATGGCGGTATAGAGGCCCGTGGTTCCCTCCTGCAGCGTTCCTAGCCCCGGTCCCACAATGATGATGAGTCCTAGGGTGCTGCCCAACAAGCCACACCAGTCGTAGCCGCTGAGACCCTGGCTCTCGAGGCAGAGAGCAAGGAGAGCAGAGCAGACGGTGGAGGCACCTTTGCGGACGGTGGCGGCATTGCCAGCAGGCACCACCTGCACTGCACTGTAGGCACATCCAATGCTGAGAATGTTGAGCACGGCGTGGAGGCAGGCCCGGCCTCGAACGTCAGGAGGTCCCAATAGTGGGTCACCGCGCAGTTTAAGTAGCAGGGCAATGGGGAGGTGGAAGAGGCATCGGTAGATGAGCAGCTCCAGCGAGGGCAAGTGGGAAGACTGGTAAGCCATACGGGAGAAGGGTCCCACGAAGCCAGCAGGCAGGCCCCCACCCAGCAGGGCCACGAGCAGGCCCTTGGTGGTATCAGAGGGCCTGCAGCGCTGATGTGAGGGGAGGCTGGGTGGTGTGGAGGGCGGCGATGGCTGGGTGAAGTCAGGCAGGTTGAAGTAGGGGTGACTGCCAGCCTGTTAGGGAGAAAGGAGCTCAGGTGTAAGGGCATCCACAGCCTGGAGGACCTGGGGCAGGGCAAATGCCAGGCTGGGATCTGGGACCCTGTGGGACAGTAGAAGCCAGGCTCTCTTGCTGAGGAGCTCTTGGGACCTAGAAAAGACCTGAAAGATGAATGAGGTGGAATAATGTGGACCCTGAGACTCTAAAGCAGGAAGCAGGGAGTGAAATCTTGGAGCATCGGGTTTCTCTGGTAAGTTATTCCTGAGAGGAGAGAAAGAGGACCTAGGGCTGCTCTGTTGGTTTGAGGAAGGGGAGGTGGTCTATCTGTGGGATGTCACAGGTTCCAGGGACATGTGGGTACACTGTTACAGATTTCATTTGTAGGTGCCTCTATAACAGCTGGAATGTTTTAGGAGGGGAGGGGGAGGGGAGCAGTCGGGAGCTACAGGGAGGCAGGGTCATATTAGACCCATCTGGCCCCCACACTCACCATCTTTCCTGGGACTTCCTCCTCTCCTCCTGGCTCAGGGGTCCTGGGCCCTTCAGAGCTCCAGCCATTGTGACCTGGTTGGAGTGGGCATGGGGTTCTTTCCTGGAACTTCCCTGCGGTGGGAGTGGGGGTGCTTCCTGGAACCTCCCTGAGGTGCAGGTGGGCCTATTTTCACATTGTTTCCAACTCTGCTTGCTTTGTATCCGTGTCTCCAAGAGTCAAAGTTTCTCTGCTTTTTATTTTTACTTTGTGACTAGTTCTGTGAAGAGACTTCTTTGGTATTAATGTGCTTATGTATGTCTCACCTTGTTTCAGAAAGGTTTTAAGGACATGAGTTCCAAGGGCTGCCTTCTCTGTCTTTTGAACTTTTCAATTTTCCAACACCACGGAGGTGTCTCTGGGATTGTCCCTCTGGAGTCTCAGAAATGTGTTTTTTCTGTGAGCTTCTACCTGGTGTTTTGTTGGAGTGTCTCAAGAGGCCCCAAGGCCTCTGCATTTATGCAAAGGAGATGGAATGTGGATATTTGAGCCACGGGGGACCGACAACACCAAGCTGCCTGCTCATCTGCCCTGGTGGTCAATGACATGTGGCCCGTTCTGTAAAGCTTGAGTCTCTCGTGCCTCAGGCCTGGTAGGGGTCCCTGCACATTCCTCAGGAGGCTGTGTGTGTGTGAGTGTGTGTGCGCGCGCGCGCGCAGGAGCTGCCCCTCATTGTGCTGACCCCAAGTTCTGTGGGTCCCATTGGGCCTGGTTGTGAGCCTGCCATGTTGTATGTCTTCGCCCAGAGAGGGTGTGTGTGCCCTGGGTGGTGTGCACCGCTGAGTGAAGGGCGTGCAGAAGGGAGGTGGGGGTCCCTTCCCAAGGAGTGGGCGATCCTGCGCCCCTCCAGGGGGCTGCAGGCGAGCCCGCTACCCGCTCGGCGCCCACTGGCCCGGCGGCCCTGCGCGGCGTGGTCCCCTTCGGAATTGGCCCAGGCAGAGGCCGTCGGGACCGCTCGCTCCAAGTCCGAAGCCCGGAGCTCAGAGCCGTATGTCGGCTGCGCTGCGCCGGCCTCCTCTCGGCGGCGG